TTTTATTTAAAAATATATTAAAATAAAATTATTTTTATTTTTTAAAAATTATTTTTTACATCAAACCAATCTAAAAACACTAAAAAAATTAATCTAAAAAATAAAATAAAATTCAATTTTTTTTAAAAAAAACCCTATTAAAAAAATAAAATAAAATTCAATTTTTTTTTAAAAAAACCCTATTAAAAAAAAAACAAGCACCTTTTAAGTAAATTGCCAACTCGAGGGTGCGTTAAATGCATGCACGTCCATTCACAGCGCCCAACTTGCATAACCTATGTTTTCTAGATATCCGAGAAGCCACAGCCCACACCCTATGAACTGAAGAGTATCATTGATGAGCCACGAAGGGACGCAAGCCACTGATGCCTAACATAGAAGGAGGCTGAAGATGAAGCACCTAAACCCAGGAATTGAACGAAAAAGGTGCCAAACTGAAGGCAAACAAAGACATTGAAACTGTTAACAAAATAAAAACAGGGTTGATCAAACCCATCCAAGCCGCATAAGAAAGCTGACCAAGCCTACCCAAGCCGAACAAGCAAGGCAGCCCAAATATGGAAGAAACCCACCCAAAGAAAACGGCCTTCAGATTCAGCCCACAAAGAAGTCAGCCACAACTAAACCAACCATCTGAAGCCAATGCAAGTGTAAAAATAACGAATGGGAAGCACTGTCACGCCGAGCTGCCTTTAACCCTCCTGCAATCACTCTCCCCTAAAAAAAGCCATCAACCCCAGCTATCAAGAAGCCTAATCTCATCCAAAGCTCACCAGCAAGCACGTCAAGAAAGCTAGGCCGGGGGCCAGCCAAAAAACAATTTCAATGTAAAAAAAAAAATTATGATGGTGTGAGGCAAATGTGATGCATTTGCCTTTGCTTGACTACGTGGCCATTAAGATAATCAGTATTTGCATCCGTTTTGTTATTTTCTTTAATTATCAATAACTGCCCACTGGTTATCTTAACGACCACGTAGTCAAGCAAAGGCAAATGCATCAAAATGTTTCTAAAAAAGCAAATTCAAGACTTTTATAGTTGATTCAATTAGGTTTTGTAAGCTCTAATAATTTAATGTATCAATAAATTTTTTTAATGATAATAAATAAATTAATAAAAAATCAACAATGAATAAAAAGTAAAAATACCTTGACTCGAGCTCATTTGGGTTAGCATATCAAACATGCAACGAAATCATGATATATGAGTAACCCTATCAAAAATAAACTAAATAAATTTATAAAGTTTAATTATAAAACAATTTAATATTGAAGAGCGAAACTAAAAAAATAATTAATTATAAAAAATAAAAAAAACTGAAGTCAAACCGGATTAACTCATTAAAGCAATGACAATGGATATAAGATTGAGATAACCCAATCGAAAGGAAAGAAGGAAAAAAATCATGAAAACTAATTTTTAATTAATCAAATGATGAAGAATGAAATTGAAAAAATAAACTAATTTTTTTAAGAAATCTAATGTTATTTGTTAAAGAAGAAAAAATTAAATAAGAAATTCATAACCCCATAAAAAGCAATATGAAGAAATTTTGAAACTCAATTTCTAGCAATTAAATTGCTAGAGAACAAAATTGAACAAAAAAAATATAATTCAAAAAAGGTGAAAACAAAATCAACCCGGGTCCACTTAGGTTAACATGCAAAATCTATAATACCATTATGATACCAAGGTAACACCATCGAAAGCAAATAAAATAAAATTATAAAGTTTAATTATCAAACAATCTAATATTGAAGGGTGAAACTAAAAATAAAATATTTTAAAAAAATTAAAAAAAAACCCAAGTCAATATTAGGTTAACTCACTAACCGTACTACAATCATGGATATAAGATTAAGATAATTCTATTAAAAGAAAAGTAAAAAAAAAAGCATGAAGATCAATTCTTAATAAATAAAATACTAAAGGATGAAATAAAATTTAAAAAAAAAAACCTGAAAAAACCAAAGTCAACTAGTATCAAATCAAATCAAATCAAATGTTAAGCAATGGAATTGAAAACAAAATCAAATTAAAAGAATGATGAGAAAAAAAATAAAAACCAAAACAATGAGGATCAAATTTGATATAAAAATTAAATGAAACTAAATGATGAACAAGGAAATTGAGGACACAAATAATATATATATATATAAACAAAACAAAATAAATAGCAATCAGAACAATAATAACCAAATTGAATATAAAAAAAATAATAGGACACTTTTATATTTTGGCATGCCAATGCAAAACCTTAGGAGAATTAAAAAAAAAAAAAGGAAAGAAAAAAAGTTCATTGGAGCCCAACTATTATATCATCATGTACACGTGCCTTACCACCAGGAAGAGCACCTTAGAAAGCTTTCAACATCACCATTTAAAGAAGCATTTTGTCATCTTATGATGTCTCCTGTGTCATCCAAAGATGAAAGAGGCACTCAAAATGCTAGTTAGTATGTTGTACGCATGAGCTACTTTTTTATTTTTTGAATTATATTTCATATTTATTAAAATATAATTTTAATGAATATTTAATAATTTTTTTAATGAGATGTTAGACCCAACATCAGCTTAACCCAAGGAAATTCTTTTATATTTTTACTATTGCTTATATTCTATTATCTATTTTCCACAAAGACCATCACCAATCAATCTTTTCAATTGATTAGGTAATTATTTTAACATATCTTTTTCAAGCTCAAGAGAGTCTATAACAAGGTAGGCCTGGTGACTTGCCAGACTCAAAAAATTATGTTTGGCGATTAGCTAAACCCAACAAAGCATGAGTTTAACGAGAAGCCAAACTCAATTTATTTGGGTTTAGTTCTCAGCTAAACTAAAAAAAACATAGGTCTAGCGAGATGTTATACCTAATATACTTGGGTTCAGTTGTCAGCTAAACCCAAGAAAACATAAGCCTAGTGAGATGCCAGACCCAACATGCTTAGGTTTAGTCATTAGTTGAACCCAAGGTAACATAATGCACATACCTTTTAACTTAGGTCAGGTTATATCTCATGTTTTGAGTATTCAAGATGATTAATACTTAAAAGTTTATTTTTATCAAGGTTTTATATCATCATTTTGCACTTAAAGTATAAATAACTCCTTAACTAGAACATATTTTATGATAACAAGTCTAATAATATAAGATAGTTTTAATTTATAGTAAATGCTCATTTTAAATGCAAGCATATTTCACAATTCAAAAGATTGATTGACGTGATTAACTATTAAAAATGAAAGACAAAGAAAAGGCTAAGCTTAGAAAAGAGATGGTGATTCAATTCAAATTGAAACACTATTAAGTCATTGGATCATATCTGGAGTTGTAGACCTTGGATTGATGTTTGGTTTGTTGTTATGGAAAGTTAAGACATAGACCTACAACTTTCATGAAGAGTTGAAGACCTAATTTGTTGTTTGCAAATTCAAAGCTTGACCACAAAAGAGAAGCTAGAATCTGTCCTACAATCTAGCCCAAACATTACTCAGAATTTTACTCATAGCTGGAGTTCTAGAAGAAAAAATGATGTCAAATTTGGTGGATGGAAATATAAGACAATTAACAACAACTTTCATGGAGACTACCTGTATAAATTTTATTGTTAGCAATGACATTTCATCCAGACAAGAGCTTCAAGGCCATCCACCACGTTCATAAGAAGCACTACTTAATATTTAACCATATCTTGATCTATAGTGATCCAAATGCTCTGAAATGTTGTGGGTGGAAAGAGGAGATGATTTCCAAAAACTTTTATAAAAAACACTTTGTCAAATTCTGATTGCATCAATGTCATTTCATATTTATCTCATATGAGCTTCTTTTCTACTGAAAATTGGTAAGATGATATGTTTTCGAGTCAGGCATCCAACAAAATTGAGTTTATATCAAATGAACTTCTCTAACTCAAGATATTCAAGTCGGAATGATCAAAAGTTAGCACTAATAAAATGCGAGATTTGTTATTAAAGGTTACGATTTCCATGCTCTTTTTTTATTTTTCTTGTCATATTTATATATATAGAAAGGTATGAATGTTAGCTTTCTAATACTACTAGAATCACTTCATTTTAACCTAGAGCTTAAACTCTAAACCAAACATCGATCGGAGATCAAATCTATCAATGTTCGACACGGGTTGTAATATAATCTGAATTATCTTCAATTTACTTCTTTTTGGACTTTATATCCAACAATGTCTTCAAAATATAAAATGAAGAATATTAAGGTATTTTATATATACAACATAGATAAGATACTAGGTAAATATGAGTAAAACTATCAAATAATATAGATGCATCAATTTAGTGTTTTTAGAGCTAAGAAAAAAAAAACTATTTACTTGAATAACTTGATTAATTACTACCCACAAAATAAATAACTTAGTACTTTTAGTTTGCAGCTTCAAAATATAAAATGAAGAATATTAAGGTATTTTATATATACAACATAGATAAGATACTAGGTAAATATGAGTAAAACTATCAAATAATATAGATGCATCAATTTAGTGTTTTTAGAGCTAAGAAAAAAAAAACTATTTACTTGAATAACTTGATTAATTACTACCCACAAAATAAATAACTTAGTACTTTTAGTTTGCAGGACATCATCTCCACCAATTGACATCCATCTCTTTTTGTGACATCATCTCCACCAATTGACATCCATCTCTTTTTGTGACATCATCTCCACCAATTGACATCCATCTCTTTTTGTGACATCATCTCCACCAATTGACATCCATCTCTTTTTGTTTACAATTTTGTTGTTGCTCAGAAAGTAGAGGCACTGGTTATACCACCTTTTTTTTTTAACCTTGAAACGCCTAATACCATAACCAAAATAACAAACGTGAAGTCATGAGAGTACGTGGACTGCAAATGTAAAAGGGAGACATGATACAAGGACGAAAGATAACAATTCAATCAAGTAAATGCTGAGCAGTCAGTCAATGTTCATAGAATCATAGTTTCCTTTCCAATTATTCCCACCAAATAATATTTGTTGAAAACATAATTCAAACTGGTTATTGCACAATTACAAACCATTCCATTTGCTGCTATTACACAACCAAACTCTTTCTTCCCACTAATTTTGTTTCAATGGTCAACTAAAAATGAGACATCCTTTTGTCTACATTCCACCAATAACAACAGAATGTTTCACTAAAATACAGGAGGGTTTTTCTTTTCAAGACTTGGGAAGGGGCTGTCCTTTCAAAAATGATTTGAATAGCTGAAGGGCTGCTCTTGGCTTGAAAAGTGGCACTTCATGACCAGCCCCTCTCACTGTTGCAAATGTCAGTCCTTCATATACCTCTGTCCACCCTCCCACCTTCACAAAACCACATCCAATTATTTATCACTCATTATAACAACTTTAATTGGTTTGAAAATCAGGTCATTAATATCTTGACCATGATAAGAACTAAGTATTGATTAAAGCTCAGCAGCTAAAAAGAAGGACATTGTTTGTTTGTATCTATCGTGATGAAGCCTTAATCAGAATATTATGTTAGGTATCGATAGCTATGCTAAAGTGGGCGAATCAAGAACAGAAGAAAACAATAATCAAGTGATGACAAAGTTTGGTAAGCTGGATTGCTCTGACTTTATGTTCTGTGCTCGAGTGGTTGAACACATTTAACAAGGACTGATTCTGGTAGGTTTCCCTAGTGGGCAATATAAGCCTATTACTAGAACATTCTATCAATTCCACCAATATAAACAAAGAAGATGGATAGAATGCTGACCTGCTTCTTAACATACCAAGGATGCCATGGAATTTTTGTCGCTAATTTAAGTTGAGCAAGGGAGTATCTAGTAGCTGTAACTGGCACAACTGAGTCGACGTCGCCACTGCAATAGTTCAATGGAAAAGAGAAGGTTATTCTCAGTTAAACATTACATTTGAAAAATAATGTTGTGTGATCATTATAGTAGCCAAGTAAAATAGCTCACCTGAATACCCAAATCCTCAATCCACTAGCAAGCATTTCTCGGTAAATTGGGAGAACCGAAACAGCCGTGTCGTTCCAGTTACGATTTAGTACTTCACTGTATAATCAAAAACATCAATTTAGTTCTTCAGGAAAATGTGTGAACTCCCTTTGATTGTTTTTTGCACACTGACTGTATACATGCCTAGTGTTCTGGTAATTCACCTGCAAGCTGTCCACTTGTAAGGAGTTTTGGTCACATTGGCATGGAGTGCTTTCTGCACATCTGGTCTATTGTAATAAATCTCAGCATATTTTTCAGTACAGGGATCATAGCCAGACAATGGCCTGACAAGCTGATAGTTACAGAAAAAATAGAAGGTATCAATCCTCAGGATATAGCATACGGCTTTTGACAGAATTGCTAGTCCCATTACTATTGCTAGTATTACTTTGGGTATAGGAACTCGAGTTACACATACCTTGTAGGGATGGTGAGGCAATCGAATACTCTGATGAGTGGAGGTGCTACCATCAGAGTTGTTACAAGGGGGTGCATAAATGTTGTACTGATCAATGTTTCCAAATTCTTGATCCATGGCATAACTATACAATGATTCACATTCGTCTGACTCCTTCTGCCTTCGAAAATCACAAGTGTTGACGAGCTGCTGATATGTTTTATCAGAGATCATTGCATGGCTCCACCAGTACGTCACTGTTCCAAGGTTGTCATAATAGTTGTCCGTAACTGCATTCCCAACCTGGATATCATTTCATATCGATTAATTGATTGCAGGAATGTAATGCACAGGTAAAGAAAGTATACTTAGCCCTAGCTTTTCTTTTGTAGAATTGAAATTCCTACAAAATCAGGCATTGCATATCATAATGTCTGATGAATAAAACCCTTTACGAAAAACAAATTTTTATCAGTTCATGATCTGTCTAGTTGTGATTGTGTAGAACACCCAAGTGAGAATAAAGCAATGCAAATGAAGCTATTAGGTAGTTCCACTATGTGGATAAAAAGTTACCATGAATCCTTTAAGATTTATTGGATGCTTGGACCTTTTGTTGTACATCATAATTTCTCTAGCCAGCTGAGGAACATAGTGGCCTGCATAACTCTCTCCAGTAAGATATACTTCTCGGTGCTTATATCGTGGGAATCGATTCATCCATCCAACCAGAAATTCCAACGAGTCCTTGGCTGAATCATGATGAAAAAATCAGACTAAAATACAATTGAAAACATACTTCTCAATAGCTAATAAGATTTCCTCCAGATATTCCTTTAAGTGCAGAGTGTCGAATGGTTAGCAAAAATGGCTTGCAACAGGTTTCAATTATGCACTACCAGATTAATTACGTTCAGATATTGACTCGAACACTACAAATTATAGACAATCCAAAGGCATGATAGTCCCTGAAATGGTTAAAAATCCTATATCAAACTTCCCCTGCCGTTTAACAAATCCAATGATAAACACTAGGACCTGCGTTATCATCATTATAATGTAGTGGTGCTGCCTAGCCTTTGAAATTATGTCTATATGCACACTTTTTTTCTTCAACAACTAACAAACTTAGCGATAATTTATCAAACTATGACTCTACCAGTGCGAATATCGCCAGTATCAAGCAAGTCAGAGGACCGATTGCTGTAAGAGAAGCCAACACCAGCAGGAGTTTCCAGGAACAAGAGGTTGGCCACGGAGTTCCATGAGAACTTGTTAAGGTACAATCCTGAGGCAGTCTTGTTGATTCTAAATGGCCCTATTTCCTCAGAAGCACCATATGCCACAGAAGAGCAACCAGGACCTGCTTGTTTACAAGTAAAAGGTAATGAAATCAAGACCATGATTCAAATGAGATGGGCCCCAAAAAAGATACCAGAATATATGGTTTTGCTAGAAATGGTGAAAAGTAGTGCCAATAAATTCGACTCCACATCTTCCATATGCCTCAACATGCAAAGTTGCTCTGAGACTCCACCCAATAGACAGAGTGATGTAAAGATTTCATTTCAGAGAAAGATAAGTTATGCGAAGTTGACTGGTTGAGTGGATGAACTGTAGCGAGGGTAAAATTTAAGCTAATGAGTGGGGTTTAGCAAGAGAAGACAAAATGGGTGACGCTATAATTTGCTGGTTTAGTAATGCATTAATGGTACACCTACACAAGCTGACAACGATGGCTATGAGATCGTAATTGCTGTAACCTAATAATGAGGCCTCTTTTTGGTTGCTTTCAAGCATTTATCTTTCTGATCACTCCATGCAGAAGACTCAGAGAGTTCGTGTATTTAGACATGTAGTTGTTTATTTTTTGTATTCTTGCGTTATAATTTTTCTTTCCTTTATTATTTTTTTTCTATAGCTTTTTCAAGGTATCAATTTTTTTTTTTCTGTTTTATCATCGGTGGTTAATAAAGGGGAGAAAGAGCCTAGGCATCCCATCATTTATGAGTAGTTGGGTCATCATTTTTAGCCATTGGTAGGCCACGTTTGCTATTCATGTGGGCACTGACCACTCCCTCTTTTCTTTTCTTCCTAGTTTTTTCTCCAGCAAATTAACTAGAGAAAAGCAAATGAGTTAAACTTCCATGCCTCTTTACTGTTTCTTTGGAGGAGTTTCGAGTTTCAAAGAACAAAACAGGTGTTCAAGAGTTGCAAGTACGAAGTAAATAGCAACTTCAAAAGATAACTAGTACTCTGTACTCCTAGAAGAATCTAAAATCTTCATCATTCATTGTCATGTCGGCAACAAAGAAAAGTTATCTGTTTCTGGACTTAAAGATGAGAAACAAAGACAATATTAATTCTTCTACCAAATTCAAGAGAATGCACGTTGACAGCAAGAACCACTTAAGTGTTTTTTAAGCATGAATGAGCATGGATCGCTAGTGACCAATACAACAGTAACAGAAAATAAAACTAGTGATGCATAGAGAGATGTAGAGAGAAGGAAAGAGCAGAAGGGGTCTGACCTCCATTGAGCCAAACAACCAAGGGTTTAGACGAGGGGTCATGGACAGCCTCAGTGAGCCAGTAGAAGAGAGCTCTACCAACAACTTTGTTAACAGTAACATAGCCAGAGAATTGTTGAAAAGAGACATTAGGCTGGCCAGGAAGTGAAGATATCCTATCTGCTTCTTCTTCTACTTCATTTACTGCATGGTGATGAACAGCACTAGAAAAAACAACCAAAAGCAAAACAAGGACCATGGAAACAAAGATCTGTTTTTCAGCCATGACCATGGCCTTAATTAGTGGAAAGAAGAAGCAGAACTGAAGAAAATAAATGGGCTTGTCACTTCCTAGTAGTGTGTATGGGGTGTGTAATTAAATAGGAGAGAGGCAAGGCAGGGGACGGAAGGAAAGGGAAGTCATGATCTTGAATGTCACGGTCATCACTCAAAAACACCACATTTTAGCCATTTGGACACCTATAATATTTGCAATTTGAAAAGACAACACTAGCCTCACAACATTTCATAGATATTGATTATGGTCAAAGCCTCAAAGTTCAAAGATAAAGAAAATGGCTTGGTTTTTATTTTTTATTATTTTTATAAGAGGGGTGTCACAATTAAAAAAAAAAACATCAATAAATGTTGTTATTCAAAACAAATGTCATTAATCATTTTCATTATTCATAGGGAAAATAAACACTTCTCAAAAGAACTAATAAAGCTTGTAATTTGGGGTGACGTCATCTTTTGCAAGGGATGCATTGATTCATATACATCTTTTTAGCAAAATAAAATTATTTTATTGCTCTTAAAAGAAAAAATATATATAGCTTAAGTCCAGTAGTTTTTTTTTTAATCTTTTTATTATTATATGCACAATAAAATTACAATGATATCCTTAAATAAAAAAAACATTAAACTTGCACAAAAAAGCTTTTTTATCTATTTGTTTTTTTAGAAAAGAGAAGTTATAAATCATCTTCAATTTTTTTTAAAAAAAAAAACCTAAAGTGCTTCAATGATGTTTCAGTCTTTTTATTATGTTTATTTTGTTATTTTTAGGTTTACTTAGAGATTATTTATTAATTTTAAAAAATTAAACATTATTAAAAAAATTATGCATTAAAGTATGATGACCCCATACCTTTCAAGCGACGTGTGTGAAGCCATCCAATTACCAAACTCTATCTTCTGTTACCGCATGGAAAGCAGTGTGTTGTTCTGTTCATGATGGTGAGGGGCGTTCTCGGGATGGAGATACGATTGGGCTCCAATGAACCCCCCCTTTTTTCCCTCTCTCCTAGCTTGGAAATTCACACTATCCATTTCAAAAATCGATTATGCCCTCCGGTTTGTATTTCTATCAAATTTGATATTTATTTTTTTATTACTATTTATTTTATTTTTAATACATTCTAAAGTTTTTTTTTTAATTTCATTATGAGGTATTTTAATTCATTTAATTTCTTTATCTAATTTTATCCTTGTTCTTTTAATTGTTTTTTTTGTGTGTTTTATCCTTGATTTATTTTTTTCAATTTCACCCCTCATCATTTTATTTTAATTTTCAATTTTGGTCCTTATTCTTTTGATTACTAATTTTTTCTTTATTTTTTTATTTTTTCCCTCTACATTTTATTTTATTTAATTTTTTTTTATCCAGTTTGGGTTCTCATTCTTTTTATTACTATTTTTTATCCTTTTCTTTCTTAATTTATTTGTTTTTCAATTTAGTCCCTAATTATTTTCTTTTATTTAGTTTTTATATCAAATTTGGTCCTTATTGTTTTGACTGCTATTTGTTTTTTGAATTTTTTTTATGATTGAAAATTTTACTTCATGAATTTTTTTTCATATTTGTTTTTCTATAGGGTAATCTCGATCTTAGTTTAAGTTCAGTCTTTTTTTAGGTCTTTTAGTTTTTAAACAAATTCACTATTCAACATTGAGTTATTGGACCTAAAGCTTTGTTATTTGTTCCACTTTTATTTTTATGGAGTTATCCTTATCTGATATTACAAGTGGTGGGTTAGTCATGTTAACCTGAGTTGACTTAATTTTTTTATCTTGATGTTTTTTTATGAATTTTTTTTTCAGTTTTATCTTTTGGTATTAAATTATTAGCCATTGAGCTTTGTGATTTTTGTTTTCTATGGGGTTATCTCTGGAGTATAGATTAGTTAAGTTGGGTTTTTTCAATGTTTTTTTTATGTAATCTCATCTTTCTTGCTATGTCTTTCAAAAAAGAAATCTATTTTTAATCTCGATCTAATATTGCGAGAGGCGAATTAGTCAAGTTAACCCGAGTTAATTTATGTTTTTTTCTTTGACATTACTTTTTAAAATTGAATTTTTTTTTTTTAGTTTTATCCTTGAGTTTTGTGATTTTTTTAATGTTTTTTCCTATGGATTATCTTGATCTCATATCTTGGGTGACATATTAATCAAGTTAATATGGGTTGATTTAAAGTATTATTATTTGAATTTTTTTATAATAGGAAAAATCTGATTCAGCCCACAACCTATGGTGGGTTACCTATCTAGTTTATGTTTGAAGCAAAGGATTGTTTATAACAAATCATCACATTGCACTCTTTATCTTTTCTCATCCTTTATATGATTCTTCCATGAAATTTTGCAATTTATGCTCACATTATATGTCCTCAACATTGCTTCTTCTTCTTCTTTTTAATGTTGGTAAGAGTGGTTTTGAGATAAGTTGTTCATTCATTAAGCTCGAGTCTCTCTCTAAACAATTTAAAAAACATACCCTTTATATTGATCTATTCATTTAGAAAAATTTAATCAATTCTAAAGGTTTAAACCCAAAAAATAAAATAATGAAGCAAATCTCCTTAACTAATAGGCTAATTTTTTAGGTTTAAATTTTCTTTAGTGATTACTTGATTAGGGATTTGCTATGTTTAGCCTTGCTTGTAAATGATTTTTTAAAAACTTTTATTTGGATTTTGGCAATATGCAAAATTTCCTTCGAAGATTTTTATTATCATAACCTAATTTTGAATCACCCAAAATTCTTTTACAAAAATATTTTTCTTTCCTTGAAATATTAGAGAAAATCCAAAAAACTCCTAAATTCAAAATTCAAAATTATTTTTAGAATAAAAATAAATGAGCTTTTAAGCTACAACAAATCAAAATGCCAGAGGGATAATCAGAAAGGAATATTATTGATGAGATAGGCTGAAGAAAGACTTAATTGAAATAAAATTAAGTTCGAAAATCAATTTGACTAAAATTGAAAGAATTAATTAATTTCAAGGACTTAATTAAACTTCTAATAGGTTTTATTGACTTAATTAAGGACTTATTTGAAGAGAAGTTTAAGGTTGAAATCCAACTTAATCAAAACTAAAAGAATTAATTAAGTTTAAGGGCTTAATTAAACTTGTAATATGTTTAATTGATTTAATTAAGGACTTAATTGAAGTAAAAAAATAATTTTGAAAGTCAATTTGGGTAAAATTGAAAAAATTAATTAAGTTCAAGGGTCTGATTTTGTTGACTCAATCAAGAACTAATTGGAAAAAAATAAATTTATAGGATAAATTTGGATTAATTTGCAATGAATGGCAAATCAGATACCTGATTGAAGCTGTGATTAGCCTAATTAGTGCAACCAAGAGCTTAATTGAAAGAAATTAAAAATTTGAATGACCAATTAAGGACATTATTAAAAATATCCAAAACTAAGGACTGTGTTGAAAAAGGTGCTAAAGTCAAAGGATATGATTAAAACATTCTAGGCATGAAATTGAAATGATTCCAAAAAATCAGATTGAATTGAGGGTTTAATTCTAAAAACTCAAAAGATTGAAGGTTGCAATAAAAAAAAAGAGATTAAAGCCCTAATTAATCTAGAGTTACCAAAACAACCCCATTTCATTTAAATAAAACAATGCGTTTCGATCAAATGGTTTGTTTTGATTTTAAAAAAAAGTTGTTTTCTCTTAATCTTAAAAAAAAATGTAAGGGCTAAACGACTTATTGTCTAGTTACTATTCATCTTCTTCCCCAAAAAACTTGAAAACCATAGTTGAGTTGCCATATTTCAAGACATATTTCACCCTCGTCCAGCTTTGAAACCAAGATAAAAGTCACTCTATCAATGACCCAAATTATTTTTCACATCATCCAACAAAATCATTTTCATTCTTTCGTGAGCTTTTCTCACTAGACAGCAAAACACATATCTAACTAGTCATACCTGTAAAAAAACAATTATAGAAATAGCTGGTGTAAAACTTAGCTGAAACTTTCTTAAAAAACAAAAGTTTATAAATGATTAAGGACAAATTGTACAAGTAAACATACTTATTAAGAGGTGAAAATAAATTTCTAGTAAATTAACTATAAATGAATTAAGGATTAAAAAAGAATTAGATAGAACTTTGTGATGTGAGATTAATGTAAGAATTAAATAATGATAAAAAAAAATTATCAAAGTTAAATGATCCATTAATGGTATTAAAAATAAGTATAGTATAAACTTTTTTTATTACTCAACTGTAAACCACACGCAAATAAGATTCAAATAAAATAATTACAATTATATTTTAAAAAGCATATGATGATGCCATGCTTTTTAAATACTATTAGAGGTTTTTAATAGTATTACTAATTACTTTATAAATGATTATATATGAACATAAAGTGCATATGTTAAAAAAATATTTCTCATATATTTTTAATGAGAATAGAATATCTAATATTTCTTATTATGAAGATTTTATATATTTTTTAAAATTAATTATTTCTTTATTTTAGTATATAGTGGCATAAAAATAATCAAGGCAAACTTTGTTTTTATTGAAACTTACCTTTTAAATTATGATAAGTTTTCATTAAAAAAGCATGTTATGAATAAAAAATGTATGTTCTTATATACAAAATAAGAAATACAAAAATAAAAAAGGTTTATTTTAGATTACGAAAATTTTGAAAAAATTCATAAGTGTTGGCTGACCAATCTGATAATTTTTGGATAAAGTATACTACATGTTTCTCATTTCTTCCTGCCAATAATAAAGAACTACAATTAAAAATTTAATCCCAAGCTGAGATAAGTAGTAGCCTAGAAATCAAATATAATATGGGTGTCTAATTTTTTTTATTTCTAAAAAAGAGTATATTATATCAAGTAATGATAGATAAAAAAAAAGGAAGAAAAAAGGTAAATAAACTAATTAGTTGGAGTTTAAAAGAAAGTTGTAAATAGAGGATAAATTGCAAGAAGTAAATTATAGGAGGTAAATTGCATAAAAAAGAATTGTATATCTTGGGTTTGTTATCTTCTTTAGTAACTAGATAGCTTATTTATATTGGTATAATATTAAAGTTTATGTAAACATCTAAATATAATTCTTCTAAAAAAAATTATATTAGTGGGATTATATTGTAAATCCTTATGGAGACTAAGTTTTAAC